ATCTTTCTTCTTCTCTTTTTTCATCTTCTTCTTTTTTCATCTTCTTATTTTTTCTTTTTCTTTCTTCTTCTGTTTTTTCATCTTCTTATTTTTTCTTTTTTTTTTTTCTTTTTTTTTTTCTTCATTTTCTCCTGGGGTCTCGCGTGCGCGATTTTACCCTCTTTTTTTTTTTTTTTTTATTTGGTTGATATTCACCCCCTTGGGGATGCTCTATTTTTTGAGTAGGGAGATTATCCTCGTTCCTTGAGATGGGATGTGCACCCCCTTGGGGATGTTCTATTTTTCGAGTAGGGAGATTGTACTCGTCTCTTGAGATGTGATGTGAACCCACTTAGGGTTGAAAGGCAAGAGTCATGCCCAACCTTAGGATGGGGATAACTGCCCACTGTAGAATGAGGCGCTCAAGACCTATGGTCTGAGGTGGATGCGCACGGTTGTGCCATTGGTTCGCGCGTGCGCGTCAGACCTTTTTTTTTCAGTTTTTGAAGTAGGGACGTGAAACACTTGATGGGATGTGAAACCCCTTGGGGTTGAAAGGTAAGTGGATGTACCACCCTTGAGATGAGATGCCCAACTTTAGGATGGGATAGCCCCCCATTTAGGATGAGGTGATCACGAACCACTGGGGTGAGATGCCCAACCTTGGCGATTTATGGTGCCACTGATTAAGTGGCAGCACGAGTTGAATCTTCCGTGATCATACGCTGAAGGTCTTCTTTGGTTATCTTAATCGTTCGAGAAGTAAATAGAAATTGATCATGTTGAGGACCCAGTGGGGACTCACGAGGAGGAGCGTTGGCTCCTGCTATGACGATGTATGGTGCCACTGCTTCAGTGGTAGCACAAGTTGAAGCTTCCGCGATTATACGCTGAAGGTCCTTATCGGTTATCTGAACCGTTAGATGAGCTAGTAGAAGTTGATCTTGTTGAAGGTTCAGCGATCATATGCTGAAGGTCCTCTTCGGTTATCTGAACCGTTCGAGGGGGCGGAAGTAGACCCCCAGAGAGTCGATGACCCATGGCGAATGAAATGTTTTGGGGCACTGTGAACCCCTAGGGAGTCGATAACCCTTAGCGAACGAAATATTTTGGGGGCAGTTGTAAGCCCCCAGGGAGTCGATAACCCTTGGCGAACGAAATATTTTGGGGGCGATGTAAACCCCCAGGGAGTCGATAACCCTTGGCGAGCAAAATATTTTGGGGGCGATGTAAACCCCCTGGGAGTCGATAACCCTTGGCGAGCAAAATATTTTGGGGGCACTATAAACCCCCAGGGAGTCGATGGCGGTGGTGCCATAGGTGGCTCCACATGTGGAGCAGGTGCTGGTATCGCGTTGGGAGCATTTGCTCCCATCGTGGCGATATATTGGGTCACGGCCTCTGTGGCAGCGCGAGTTGAAGCTTCTGCTATCATGCGTTGAAGTGCATCCTCGGTTATTTGAACCATTCTAGGAGCATGGAGTGGTGGATCCGCGAGTGGTGGGTCCCGAGGGGGGATCACCTGAACCTCGCGAGGTGGATCTGCAGCACGCGGAGGAGCTGGCTCCGCGGCACGTGGAGGAAGTGGCTCCGCGGCACGTGGAGGAGGTGGCATGCCAGATCCTCCACGGACTGGGAGCTTATTAGCTGTGTCATTTTCTCTCCGAGCTCACGCCTCAGGAGGATCTTGATTAGCTGTGTCATTTTCTCTCCGAGCTCGCCTCAGGAGGATCTTGATTAGCTGTGTTATTTTCTCTCCGAGCTGACGCCTCAGGAGGATCTTGATTAGCTGTGTTATTTTCTCTCCGAGCTGACGCCTCAGGAGGATCTTGATTAGCTGTGTCATTTTCTCTCCGAGCTGACGCCTCAGGAGGATCTTGATTAGCTGTGTTATTTTCTCTCCGAGCTGACGCCTCAGGAGGATCTTGTTGGCTACGTGATCTGGTTTGCATCGTTCCCACAGACGGCGCCAAAATGATGATGCTAATATGTAGCTCACCTAGGGTGGTGTAGAAAACGAACTGGGAGAGCAAAGTAAATCAGTAGCTTGACAACTTGATGATCCTGAGGTACCTGCGATCATAGAACACATGAACTAAGCCGGGGGTTGATCCGGCGGAAACCCCTCCGACGCTCAAGTCAGACGTGCTGATCATAGAAATAGTCTAGAGAATACGTATTATAGTATTGCTCAGTTAATAGGACGTACCTCAATAAAATGAGCAAAACCTCTATTTATATGTCATTTATTGGGTTGGGTTTGTTTTGTTGGGCCAAATCCTTACTTGAAGGTGTTTGGGTCTCGGTGATATTAGTCTTCGATATTGGGCTCGTAGCCCAGTAGGTAAAGAAATTGTAAGCCCGTTGGGTTGGCCCAATTAGGCATATCAAATTAAATAACGCATGTATTGAATAATTAAATAAAAATTAGGCCGATGAAAATAGACTTTAGCTTACTTTCTAATTTCCTATACATGTTCACATGCCAGCTTTTTTGGGTAGGTGGGATTTTAGAGGACTGAATTTACAAATTTATTAATTATTATGAACATGGATCCCATCATAATTCACGTGCATTTTCTGAAACAACATTGTACAGTTGTCACACGTGTATTTGAATATTATTTTGGGATTTACCTTCATTATTTAAATAAATAAATAAATTAAAAAGATTTTTAAAATTGCCAAGGAAATACAAAAACTTATAACCCTTTAAACCCGGCCTTATGTGTGTAAATATGAAATTAGACACTCTAAATAAATATTGATTAAAAAATCAAAACCAAATTAATGGGGGTCAGTTTGGTAAGATTGGGCCGAACACCCTATATTTGGCTTATTAAATGGTATATGAACAAAACGTATGGGTCGCAAAAGATTTATTGGTCCCACCTACCCAATACATGTGAAAGACAATGCCTCTTTAGAAAATCTTCAGAATAAAACTCGTTAGTATTAAGCTTGCTAAAACGATGCCTCAAGGTTATGCAGTTAACGAGCTCGTCAGCCTATCCGAACATGCAGGAAAGGATCATTGGGTAGGTGTGCTGAATGAGGGTCGTTGGAAGAAGGAGATGCAAATATATTCTCCCTAAATAGGTAAGGAAAATAGGTAATTAAGGATTACTAATTTAGCAATCAATGTAAATCACAACTAATTAAGAGATTCTAAAATAGGAAATTCTATTAAGAAATTTCCTATATAAACAAACGTAAAGACCCAATTTCAGATACAATTATTTAACATCAATAATACACCCCTATCAAAATTCTCTCTTTCTCTCTTATCTTTTTAGTTTTCCAGTCAATTAGTCCGTCTTTCCTGGCCAAATAACGGCGCCAAATATATTTCCCGATGAACGCAAGAGTTGAATTTGAAAGGAGGTCTTGAAGGTGCAAATATTGCGCCATCACAAATCTTGGAGGGTTCGTGCCAAACACGTAAAATGGAATTAAAACATTAATTCTATAAATTGAAAATCTTTTATAACAAATTAGCTGTTAGATTGTACTTATTAAATTAAAGGTAAAATACACTTTACACCCCTGTACTATTGAAAATATCGCATTCAGCCCCCGATGGCATAGAAAACTACAAAATCCCCAATAATTTTAAATGTCCATGTTCAGAAACTTGACACCGTTAAAAATTACAATGAATTTACTTTTATATCCTCACATTTTAATAAAATTTATTCCATTTGTTTTCTCCTCCAAATTGTTGTTCATCTTCCCCTCTCTTCGTACACATACCAATCCTATTGCCTGCCTCCATACCAGGCCTTTTATTTCTCCCACCACCTGACCACCCACCACCAAAATCTTGAAACCCGAGAAGAAGATGATCGTTTATTAAAATAAATGTTTGATAATAAAAAAAAAATCTGTATTATTTGAAATCTGAAATTTTACAACTTTTTATTTTTAAAATATTTATAGATTATATAATTTACTAAATGTCTATGATAATTTTGTTTACTGATTCTCTTCAAATTATATACGGTAAAGGGGCGAAAAAGTCCAAAAAATGAAATAAATGTGGTCAATATGCCACATGAGCTTTAACTAATAGAATAGTTAACGTCTGGGGGGTTTTTGTAGTTTTGGATACTATAGGGTGTTGAATGCGACATTTTCCATAGTACATGGGTGCAAAATGTATTTTACCCTTCAATTAAATTTGGATTGGTACTTACTAAATTTGGATTTGCCAAGTCACGTTCAAGTGGAAATGTCAGAGTCGTGCTGTGCAATCCATTTTATTAATTAACGATTCTAATTTCTAAACGTGTGAATTTAATGTGGTTAAACAGATGTTTTCATTTTGATAATTATATATTGAAATTTTATAAAATTAAATTTAATTTGCTGGATTATGAATAAAATATAGTTTAAACCCTTTTTTTTTTTTCTTTTTTCTTTTTGGTGATTCGGATATCCGAACTTAATATATACGTGTAGTCCTACTATGATTAGAGTTTTAATTTGATTTTAATTAGGTTTTCTCTTATATATATAAATAACAAAATACAGCTAAAATAAATATTTCTGTATATATTTGTGGTAGAAGAAATTAAGAAGAAAAAAAAAATAAAAAAAATAGTCAATTTATTGCAGACGTGTCCTGCATCTTAACCTATCCAAATTCCCCAATCTATGATCCAATAAAATCAATATTTATAATATAATAATTCAGCAATTAATTAGTATAGTAATTCATACAAGGAACACATCTCATCCAACCATGTGCTACTTTCCTATATATATAACAATCTCTTCAAGATCCAATCCTGATTAATCACACCACCACCACCACCACCACCACCACCAATAATCAATGGCCACATCCTCTTCCCACGCGCCGCCGCAAGACCTCGAACGCGCCACCTCCTACGCCCCAATTCCGGAAGGTCCCCCGGGGCAACAGCCGGCGCCGCCGAGGAGCACCAAGAAGCTGTACGCCAGCATTCTGTTCTCATCTTTCTTGTTGCTTTCTTTACTTGTTTTGATCAACAACAACAATCAATTAGAACCAAGCCCTCTAGCTTCATCTCCGGCGAGACCCTTGATCGAGCAACCCTCAAGAGGGGCGGCGCAGGGGGTGTCGGAGAAGGGCTCCCGGCGAGTCGGCGGCGTGGAATTGAGCTTTGCTTGGACCAATGTTATGCTGAGCTGGCAGAGGACGGCTTACCACTTTCAACCTCAGAAGAACTGGATGAATGGTCAGTGTTAATCAACAGCTTATACATATAATTTCTTTTTTTTAATTAATTAATTAATTAATTTTTTTTTTATAAAAAAAAAAAAGAATCAATTTTTATGATCTTCCGTTGTGAGAAATCCATACGAACGATTCTGATTCTGATTCTGATTCTGATTCGATTCGTCTTTTGTTTGTTTGACGATTGCCGCTCGAATCTGGATGTTTCTGCAACAGATCCTAATGGTGAGTCTTTCAAATTTAAACTCTAGCTCTATTGTTTTTGCTTTATTTTCTTGAAAAGGTATTTTATATATAATATATTTAAAAATATAGGTAAAAATATTTGCTACTAAAGTTGACTCTGTCAATATTATTATTATTATTAAAGGCAGTATATATATTTCTAGGATTAATTAATTACCTTTTGCTGATCTATTTGAATATATATCTATTTGAATATATATATATATATATATATATATATATATTTTTTTTTTTACTGAATGTGTTTTATTAAATTGCAATAATTGCTGCTGTAATTATTTCATGATGAATTGGACCAATGGGTGGCCTTAACTGGCATATTTATTGGAACCTGTAGATGTTAGCCACGTGTTTTTGCCACCTGGACCATTCGTCATCTTGACTATAATTGGTGTAGTAATTGTTGTATGTGCTAAAACATGACCTCATAAATAATCAAGTCTAACATTTAATTATCCGGTTAATTCTATGTTACATCAAATGAAGTTTATATTGGATGAATTTTTACTGTTGATCGACACACACCAATGTATGTGTAAATAGTAAAGTTCTGAACGTTAATTATTGAATGACTTTTGTTTAACAATGAAGGTTGTGGTATTTTACTATTTTCTCCCCCAAAAAAAAAAAACGATTTAAATGCAGAAATAACTATTTACGAGTTTGGGCCTATAAAAAAATTAGGCAACTTGGTCCTAATTATTTATTTTGGGGGCCACTTGGATTTGATTATCGTATTGGGCTTATTTGGGCCAATACACTTGGGCCCACCACAATCCTTTTCATGAATCTAATTATTTCACTAAACAATCTAATTATATATAGATATATTTAAAAAAAAAAAAATTTGTGCTAATTAATTAATTAAAATATTGATTTGTGTAAATTAATGACAGGTCCATTATATCACAAGGGATGGTACCATTTATTCTACCAGTACAACGAGGATGCAGCTGTATGGGGCAACATCACATGGGGCCACGCTGTATCGAAAGATCTTATCCACTGGCTCCACCTCCCATTTGCCATGGTTCGGGATCAATGGTACGATATAAACGGAGTCTGGACCGGGTCGGCCACTATCCTACCCGACGGTCGGATTATTATGTTGTACACTGGAGACACAAACGACTTCGTTCAGGTGCAGTGTCTATCCTACCCGGCTAACCAATCCGACCCGCTCCTCATCGATTGGGTCAAGGACCCGAGCAATCCGGTTCTGACCCCTCCGCCCGGGATCGGTGCTAAGGATTTTAGGGATCCGACGACTGCTTGGCTAAGCCCGGGCGGGGACAGGTGGCGGATCACGATTGGGTCGAAGGTTAACACGACGGGAATTTCGTTGGTTTACGAGACGGAGGATTTTGTGAAGTATGAATTGTTGGATGGGTACCTGCATGAGGTGGCGGGTACGGGTATGTGGGAGTGCATTGATTTTTACCCGGTTTCCGTTACGGATGAAAACGGGTTGGACACTTCGGTTAACGGGCCGGGTGTTAAGCACGTGATGAAGGTGAGTTTGGATGATGATAAGAATGATTATTATGCGATTGGAACGTACGACCCGATTGGGAACAAGTGGACGCCCGATAACCCGGTTTTGGATGTGGGTATCGGGTTGAGATATGATTACGGTAAATATTATGCTTCGAAAACATTTTATGACCAGAATACACATAGGAGGATTTTGTGGGGTTGGATTAGAGAAACTGATGCTGAAGAACTTGATATTTTGAAAGGATGGTCTTGTGTTCAGGTTCTATTTATTTATTTAAATACACTAATTTATTTAATTAATTTTTTTTTATTATTATTAATTATTATTTTTTTTTATTAATTTTATTTATAATTTGATCAATTTTGTAACAGTCGATTCCGAGGACGGTTGTGTTCGATAAAAAGACGGGCAGCAACATACTTCAGTGGCCAGTTGAGGAAGTCGAGAAATTGAGATCACACACTAGCGTTGACTTTAACGACGTTAAGCTTGGACCGGGTTCAATTATCCCGATTAAAGTTGACTCGCCATCGCAGGTTATTTTTGCTTCTATTTTTTTTAATCCACATATATATAATCGGACTGATCGGATCGTAATTAGTATTTTTGGAAAAATCCACCAAAAAAAAAATCTGAAGTGAAAAAGTAATTCAAATCCCATTCAAAAAAATAAAACCGGAAGAATCGGATTGGAACAAAAATAACGTGTGCCAGCATAGAAATAATTTCGTTTTGACCTAACTATATTAATTTGTGTATGATGCAGCTAGACATAATTGCGTCGTTTGAAGTCGATGAAGATGCTACATTCGAGACAAGTGCTAATGAAACTGAATCCAGCTACGACTGCCCTACTAGTGGTGGTGCCGCTAATAGAGGAAAATTAGGACCGTTTGGCATTATCGTACTTGCCGATGATGGGTTATCGGAATCAACTCCGATATATTTCTACATTGCTAAAGGGGCTAACGGCACGACCGAGACTCACTTTTGTGCCGATGAATTGAGGTAATTAGTTTTACTAATCCTACTTAAAATGCTAGATTTAGCCGTCGTAATCGTGTTTTACTGGATATACGTTTTAGATCATCGAAAGCTGCTGACGTGGATAAATTAGTATATGGAAGCACAGTCCCTGTGCTTCATGGTGAAAAGCTATCCATCAGATCTTTGGTATGTGTTTTTTTTTCTCTATATTTTTTATTTTATTTTATGTAATACTATAATTGCATCTGCTTTAATTTAATTTATTTTTAAATTATTTTGATTAGGTGGATCATTCAATCGTGGAGAGCTTTGCGCAAGGGGGTAGAACGGTAATTGCGTCAAGAATATATCCGACGGCGGCGAATGGTAGCAGTGGACGTGTTTTCTTGTTCAACAACGCGACTGGAGTAAGCGTTACTGCTTCGATTAAAATATGGAAAATGGACTCGGCCGATATCCGCCCGTTTCCTTTCGACCAGAAGCAGCTTTGATACCACCGAGAAATTAAATCAAAAATTTTCCCATCACATTTGAGTTTTATTTATATTTATTCTTGTGTTCGATGAATTTGATTCATCGTTGCTTAATTTAGCATATTGATATCACAATAAATATTCATGTCACCATTCTTCTTTGTCAATTTCGAGTGAATAATATTATAATAATAATAATAATAATATTTCATGAAACTTCTAATTGAAGATGATTCCACAAGAGGTGGAGTTTATGACCGTTGGGCCAAATTGCAATTAAAAATAAAAATAATAATAATAACAATAATAAAGCAAAAGGGTGTTTTGACTTGTAAATTAGTTGTTTGGCAGCATCGATGCCGCTCCAATTGCTTTTACTTTTTTATTACTAGTTTTTAATCAAATCGAAATTCAAAAACATAAAAAAAGAAAAAAAAAACAAAGAATTAGAAAAAGCACTTAGTTAATTGTTTTCCAAATAAATATTATATTACTTTATTGGTTTTATCTAAAAATATATGTACTTTAATTGTTACAGATCAAAGTCTGATTCAATTACCGTTGTAAGGTTCTACTAATTAAATAGTAAGAACTATTAACAATTAAATTAGTAAGGCCCCTTACTAATTAAATAAATAATTAATTAATCAGTAGATACTTAATTTAATCTTATTTAGGTGGTGTTTGAAAACGCTTTTTGAAAGTGATTATGAACGTTTTTTTTGCTCATAATCTATTTTCAGGTGTTTGTAAAATTAACTTTTGCTTTATCTTCTCTTAAAATAATCTGCTCTAAGCTATATTTTTAAAAGCACCCCTAACCCTACTTTTTCTATTTAAGTTCATTTTTCGGAATATTTGCAAACATCCCCAACTTTTAGAAATAAACACTTAAAACTGACTTAACTCACAATCACTAACTTCTGCTTTTAAATAATCATTTGCAAACACCACTTTAATCTAATTTAACAACCGAGCCCTAAAATTATTGATATAATGGATCGAAAATGTTGACTATTTGGACTCACAACTCACTTGTAAGTTGCACCTTATTTAAAACTCTTGAGACAAATTGGGGATTTAAAATTTGACTAATATAATAGTTAAAAGTCAAATAATGAGAGATTAGTGATTCATCCATGTGTAGTGTGGACTAAAATGCTATCATTGCAACTGCTCGTATTTTTAAATGTTTAGCAATAATAAAAAAAAAAAAAACAATATATTTCAGTCAATTATGATCAAATTAAATACACAGTGTATTTCAATTATTGAATTAATTGTGTGCAAATTTAGGCGATAATCACGTTTAATAATCATCTTAAGCACCGACGGCCCATTTAACATGCAACTTGTTTTCAGGAATGCCCATGTGATCTTTTTGCTTAATGGGGAGCAATTCATTTTCCCCCCTTCTAATTTTTGTGATATTATAATTATTTTCGAATTAATCAATTTACAGGCTAGAGAAATAATTAAATATTACAGACATAATAATATAATATAAATTCAAAATGCCAGCTGGGCAAATTGGGGGGTGGGGACGTGGCAAAAGTATGCAAGTGGATAAAATTTGCATCGTTTTTTTCAAGTGGGGACCACATTTTCCGTGTGCGTGGAGTGTGGGCCCCATTTATTTGCATGTGAGAGCGTTGCAGAAAAATTTGAACGTTATGAAGTGAGGATCTTGACTGTCTTATTTGGGAGGTGACCGGCTTTAGCCAGTTGCCTTTCAATTCAAATTAACCAAATACTAAGGTGGTGTTTGCAAATGATTATTTAAAAACAGAAGTTAGTGATTGTGATTTAAGTTAGTTTTAAGTGCTTATTTCTAAAAGTTGGGGGTGTTTGCAAATATTTCGGAAAATGAACTAAAATTGAAAAAGTAGGGTTAGAGGTGCTTTTAAAAAAATAGCTTAAAGCAGATTATTTTAAGAGAAGCAAAAACAAAAGTTGATTTTGCAAACACCTAAAAATAGATTATGAGCAAAAAAACCCGCATAATCACTTTAAAAAAACATTTGCAAACACCACCTAAAATTAAAATATGAATAATTTATGCTTTCCATATGCGAATATTACATTTTCATCCTTCAATTTTGCATCTATTTTACATTTGACCCATTATATTAACAAATAACACATTTGATCCTTCATTTTTCAATAATTTAATAGTTTTGGTCATCTCAGTCAATTTACCGTTAGTCCGTCGATAAAGGTAGTGGCGAAACATATTTGATTCCATTAGTTTTAACAGAAAATTGGTGGAAAAGACTAAAAATGTTAAATTTTCAAACATGAGGGGTTGAATGTATATTTTGTAAATATTATGGACCAAATGTGAAATTGCCGCAAAATTGAGATTTTGATCTCTCTATTAACTATGTCCTAAGTGAGTAAGTGTCGTGAATAAGTGATGAAGATTAGTGATCTACGAAAGTGATTGTTTAAAAGTAAATTGTGTGATCTAAACTAAATAATATTCCACTCGTTTTGAAATAAGTTCATTTTAGGTTGACACTCATATACTAAAAAAATTAGAAAGTATCGATGAGTTTTAGGGAATTTTTTATAGTGTGACTTAAACACCCTCCTTATTTTTATTTTCGTTAATTATTTATGAACTAATTAATAGTAGTAGGTAAGTCAAAGTTGAGAATAATATATATATTTTTGAACGACAATAATACAAGATGAATCATGCAAATACAAATAACACGATTCTTTTAGCAAGTAAAACTAAAAATACTCAAGATTTATCAATAAAAAAAATATACTAAAAATGCTCCACAAAGTAGGGGTTTTGTAATTAACTAAAAAAGGAAAAAAAGAAAAAAAGAAAAAAAGAAAAAAAGAAAAAGGAAAGTGTAGAGTTGATTAAAGTCAACACAAAGTTGAACCGGCAGAAGAAGTAACCGGTGAACGCGGATCACGCCACAAATTTCCAGAAGCTCTCTCTCTCTCTCTCTATCTCTTTCTCTCACTAGCTCTAGTTGTGAAGAAATTACAAAAGGCAGCATTTAGGGCTAAACTAAAAGTAGTATATTTACAGAAGAGCCACAGCGCAGCACCAGCAAAGCAAACACAGAGCTTTTTTTTCTTCCTCTCTGCATATATTTTCCTTGCTTTTCATCTCTCTCCCATTCTTATACTCACATTCAGGAAGCTGTTGAAACACGCTGTCTGCACTCTCTCTCTCTCTCTCTGTAATTGTGTGTGAAAGTGTGAGGTGCATTTGAGAGAACAACTGTGTTGTGTTGTCATGTGAGAGCAAAACGATACCGTTTTGTTATAAACTATACACAAGCATTCCATTTCCCCCCCAAAATTGTTTCAGCTGTGATACTACTTTTGTTTCTCTCCAAGTAATTACTAATTAGGAATGGGTGCGTTGTGTTTGGTGTATTGGATTTCAATTGGATTGCTGCTGGGGCTGTGTTTGGGTGCCGACCCCTTTGCTAACTTCAACTTGGAGCTCTCTTACATTACTGCTTCTCCGCTCGGTGTTCCCCAACAGGTGACACACCATTTCTTCCCTTTTTTTTTTATTTATGGTCGGAGTAGATTTTATTTGGTCGTTTACTTTTGTTTGTCCTGAAATAGGGTGAAGGAATCAAAAAAGTTGATATTGATTTTGTGAAGATTTCTTATTTGTTTCTGGATATATACACATTCACAACGAGTTGAGAATTGAAAAAATGCAGTATTTTAGGGTTAATTTTGATGATTCATACG